CCCATGGCTTAGCAATGGAGAGTTCATCTAGTAACCAGCAAACTGGACAGCCATGCCTCCACTACAGGGCTACTGCTTGCAAGGAAAACCAACAACTCCCAAAGCTGGTCTATATCCATTTGGAGACTCCTCCCATAAACCAAAAGGGCTGAAGTGATGGCTTTGGTACTGTCACACTGCATTCTGGGAGTGGGAGACTTCACAAGTAAAACTCAGGGACCAATGCATGTTGGAGGCTGTAGTTTTTCACATACTTTATATGTTCAGCGTGTCAGAGAATCTAGTAGTAGGACTAAGCGATTCTATATGCGTCTAGCAGAACCCACCAGATGAAGCTGCTAGACACTGGGAAATGGGTTGGAAGCTCTGTGCATCAACCTGGCCACCAGGAGTGGAGCTGAGAAGGGGTTCTAACCAATACCAAAGAGAATATGAGGATACTCAAATGAAATCCACATGTCCTGTGTCTTTAACAAAGAATAAATAAATCTTCCTTCTAATATGCATAAACATACCCCCAAAGACAGCATGCTTCCTATGAAAACCTCTAGCAGCAGAAGGGAAATGTGTATCATTCTGAAGACTTTGAGGAAGCACAAAAGTCTACATTTAGTGTCTGAACCAGAAGAAATATTTTAGAAAATGGCATCCTCAAGAGAACACAAGAAAACATGGACTCTGTGAAACAGGTATAGAAAGCCACTGGAATCAAAACATATTGAGAAGGAAAGACACCAAACTGGAGTGAAGAGAAAGCTCAGCAAACCAAGGAAGAATTACAAAGAAATATTGTAGCAGCAGAATTAAATTTCACATTGGAGATGGCAAAGAGCAGAATCTACCAAATTCATAGTATGGTGGTCAAATCTGAACCTCTCCCAAGTATGCAGAGGAAAAGGAAAGCTGACCTTAGAAATCCAACAAAGGTTGTTATTAGGAAATCTATTAATGTAACGCACCAAATGGGGAGGTCAAAGGAGAACACCCAAATGAACCTCTCAACAGATCCTCAAAAAGCGTTAGCTAAATTCAGCAACCATTCCTGATTTTAAAAGGGGGGGTTGATAATTTAAGAATAAATTCTTTAACATTATAAAGGATGTTTAATCTTAACCAACAAACAACATGAGAGTCAACAGAGAAAACACTAGGAACATTTCCACTAAAATCAGAAACAAGGCAAGAATTCCGGCCAGTACTACTATTATTTAACATCGTCCTGGAAGCTCTAGTTAATACAATCAGACTTGAAAAAAGTTGCTCTTTGAAGGGAGATAAAGTTATCATATGGAAGTTGATACTATTAATTTCCAAAATAATCCAAGTGAAGCAACTGAAAAACTACTAAAAGAGTTAAGCATGGTGGCCAAATATAAAATAAACATATAAAAAAATCAAAATCTTTCCTATGTACCAGTAATAATTAGTTTGAAAATATAATAAATAAATGATACCATAAACTACAAACTGTCCAGGAATGACGTTGATGAGAAATCTGCGGGATACACAATCCACACACACACCCTAGAATAAATTAAGAAATCTACCATATGTCTTTTCCCGGATAGAGAGACTCACTATGGTAATGACATTAATGAAATTTTAGATTTAAAGTAATTCCAATCAAAATAACAGTATTTGGAAGAAGAGTCTGACAAAAACATTTTAAGTTCATTTGGAAGGCAAAAATGGTTCGGACTAGCTATGAAAAAAGTGTGAGTAAAGGAACAGTCTGGAAAGAATGGTGAAGAGAAATCTGGCCTGCTGGCTGTTACAAATACAAGAGTCTGAAATTGGTGGCAAACTCAGCAGAGACATCGATGGGATAGTATAACAAGCCACCCAAATAAACCCTAGTTTATCAAAAGCGTTTGATAAAATACAGAACCATTTCCATTTAAAATATCTCCAAGTAAATGTGGAGACTATTTAAATATAATAGACTATTTGACAAATACCAACAGCAAATATGGAGGAACACCATTTCTATTTGAAATTAGTTATAGACAGAATGGCCCACCAGCATCATTTTTATTTAACGCTGTCTTTGAATTTCTAGCAAAAACAGAAGAAAATGAAATAAATGATATAACCATTGGAAAGAAAAGATAAAAGTTACCAGAACTAACAAAACAATTAGGTAAGATAGCTAGATATAAAAACTATTTTTAAAATTAATAAACTTTTTCTATTCTAGCAAGAGGCATTTAGGAACGGAAAGGAGGATAGTATTCCACTCATAACAAACAAAAAAGTTCTTAAATCTTTAAGAATAAATGTATCAAGAAAGGCATAAAACAAGATCTGAGCAGATGGAAAGAAATGCCATTTCTTAGACAAAAAGAGCTATAGGTTTTAAAAAATCAATTCTTACAAAACTGAAATATAAATTTAATGCAATTCTAATTAGAATCCCAATAGGGTGGGGTTGGGAGGGCTGAATAAGTGATATTAAAATGTGTAGAAAAGAAAAAATACCAAAGAATAGCCAAGGAAAATATTATTGAATCTAATGTAATCCAATCAACATGATTTAGGTACACAAATAGACACACAGATGAAACAGAGCAGAGAATCCATAAATGGATCCTCGTATATAAAAAGTTTGATGACAAAGATAGCAGTTCAGTTCACAGGGGAGAGTAAGGATTACTTAACATATTATGCTACCGTCACTGGTTATCCATCTTTGAGAAAACAGTCTTAACGAAGACTGGGAACCCAGAAGCTATAAGAAAATAATCATATTTGGATATGCAAAAGATTATGTGGAAAAATATACCATCAGTAAAGTCAATACATACAGATTTGGGAAAGATATCTATAATAAAGATGGTAGGCCAAGGGCCAATATCCAAAATATACAAAGAGGGCTTACAGGTTAAGAAAAATATAAATAACCCCTAGGAAATGGGCAGATAATATGAACAGATAATTCAAAGAGAAAATCCAATCGGACCAAAACAGAGAGAGAGAGAGAGAGAGAGAGAGAGAGAGACAAAACCAAAATGCATTAGTAGCCAAGGAAATACATCCATTAAGTTGTCAGAATTATAAAAGAACCATAAAACCTTATGCTAGTAGGGATGTGAAACAAACAGTGATCTCATATGTTACATATAAAAGGGAAAAGTGAATTATAACAGCCTGTTTTTGTAAATCAATATGGAAACAAATATTTATTTATATATAAACATTTGTGTCTGTGTGTATAAATTGAAAGCACCAGTATATAAGGGCATAAGCACAATGATGTTTAATTCAAGCATTGACTGTAGTGGCCGAAATCTGGAAAGAATGTAAATGTTCATTAGTAGGGGAATAGCTAAATAAATTGTGCATCCATGAAATATTTTCCACTCTTTTAAAAGAATAAGAGCCATACCAAGAGGCTTTGATAGATTTTCATGAGATGAAAAAAGTAGGATGTGTTAAAGTATATACAGAATTCTATTTTTATAAAACAATTAACAAAAACAGCAAAACATTCCAAAACCTGTGTGTGTGTGTGTGTGCGTGTGTGTGTGTGTGTGTGTGTGTATGCATGTGTATACCTGTGAGCATGGAGAAAAATATGGAAGGATACATACTGGTTTGGTAATATACAGGGATGATGTGGAAAGGTAGAGGCAAGGGACAAACCAAATAAGGAAAAGGACAGGGTAAAAAGGACCACTATAAAAAAAAATAAATCCAGCAGTTATATGTATGTATTTTATATGTACAAACACACATAAATTGAATTAAATTTAGAGAAGATACAATAAAAAAACTAAATGCGGTCTCTGCTTGTTAAATTTTAAAAAAAAGCAAAAAAGGAAGGCAATAACCAAAATAATCTCTTGGTGGGATTAGGGGTGGTGTTTATTTTCTTCTTTATGTTTCTGCATTTTCTATAATGAGAACTGTTACTCTCATAATAATGAAATAAAACCAATACATGTTACTTTTAAAACATGACACTGAAAAATTGAGCCCATTTTGGGAAATCAAGGGGGGAAAACAGGGTTAAATACACCTTCCGCTTAGAAGCTGTCCAAGTAAGAGCTTATGAAATCAGGATCCATTACCCCTCATCCAGCAGAAAGTTATATTCACCTCAGGCAAGAGACTAAGTGGCTATTCCAAGGAGCTATCTGAAGCAGCAAATAGGGTATATTTTCCCCTACCTAACACTTTAAAGACTTAACTAAATCAGAAAGCCATTTACACCACTCTCAATTATCTAAGGATTGGCTGGGCTCTTTACTTTTTGCCCCCTCGCTCTGGCTTGCAGCCATTTCCCTGCTCAGAAACAGCTCCAAAATGGGGGCCAGAGAAGGGGGAAAGAGACAAGATTAATTGGGTCGATTTAGCTTCTCATTAGCAACTCTAATAAAAGGTTTGATAAATGAGATGGTCACAACTCGTGGTTAAAATGAGGCTTCCGGGACTCTTGAGAATTTCATTTAAGCAAACTTGCCTTCAGACAAACACGATTTGCCTGCAATACATTTTAATGGATCTGATGCTTTCTATTTTAAAGAAAGTCAGGACTTGTAATAAGGTGATATTTTTCTCTCCTCAATTTAATTTGCACTTTAACAACAAAAAAAACCCCATAAAAACTCAAAACAAAGTCCTTCAAAGTATCCTCAGTGGAACAGCAGGACCACAGTACAAAGATTCGCTAAAAGAGGGGAGCTGTCTGGCCCCCAGCATACTCAAGAGAAACTTTATGAGGGCAGCAAACTTCCAAGGGGGAATGTCTTGGCCATAAAACACCACCACAAAGAATCGCTGAAAAGGATCTGTCAGGGCTTGACAAAAGCACAAAGGCCAAATCTCCACATACAACATTTGCCTGTTTCATTGGACCCTTGAAGACTTTTGTCCCTTGGGAAGCCCAGACACAAAGCATTGCAGGTTCAAGGTGGTCACAAGCAATGTGTTCATCATCCTTTGTAATCAAACAGACAAGACAGTTCAGCAATGGCAACAGAAAAACAATCTCCCCTTACTTGAAGACGACGACAGCTCCCGGACATGGAGGGCAGGCCAGGAGAAAGATCTGCAATGGAAAAAAAATTAAGTATGGTTATCAAGAGAAATGCTGGACACAGTGAGACAGTGTTATTTTAATAATAATAATAATAATTAATAACCAAACTCTTACACAGAAAATGTAACATAAAAGTCTTTAAAAGACAAGCAGGTGGTGTTCCAAACATGTCTGTGTTTGCACATGCATCTATGTGTGCCTGTCTGTTCCGGCTGTGTGTGTGTGATGGGGAAGGGGTAGGTCGGGGAGAGAGGGAAAGAGATGGATGAAGAGCGGAAGAAGTAATTGGTGGAGGGGTAGGAGATGGGGAGAGCTTTTCTTAAGCCATTTCAGCCTCTAAAACACTTCCTCTTAACCTCTAGAAGACTCAATTTTTCAATTCTTCAAGTTCAGCATGACACGAGTAGCCAGTATGACAAGCTTTTAACCTAGGACAAGTAAAAATGGATTCTGAGATAGGACAAATACACAAATGCCATCTGGTTTGCCTCCCATGGGGGAAGGTGGGTTAATCAATACCTAGCTTTGCCAGATTTAGAAAGAAAAATACAGGATGCCAAGTTAAATTTGAATTTCAAATAAACAATGAAAAATGTTTTAGTATAAGTATATCCTGAACAGTGTATGGAGCGTACATATACTAAAACATTATTCATTGTTTATCTGAAATTCAAATTTAACTGGACAGCCTGTATTTCATCTGGCAATCCTATCAATATTGCCACCCCCCAGGCCCTTAGCCTCCCTTTGATTTTGAAGGGGAGCAGAATTTGCTACCCCAAAGTTTGTTTCTTTGGCATAAGGATTACTTTAGGCTGGTTGTTTTTAAGAAACAACAGACATAGGAAAAGCTCTGAAAACTGTGTAGAAGTTACCCTTCTGTAAGAGACATCTACACTTATAAGGAAAATCTCCATTTGTTAAGGTGTCTCCCTCTAGGAAAAGAAGGAAGACTCTAAATCTCTAGAAACTCTCAACAATGGAGAAGGCAAGGACCTAAATCTGCCTAACAACCTTACCCTTGTTCACTGTGCTTTTCCTGGTCACCTCCAGGAACTGGTCTCCTCCACCCCTACCCAGCAACCAACACTCAACATCTTTCTTTTAACTTTGGCTGAAGATGGTATTTAAGGTGGTGGATTGGGCCATTTCAGGGAGTTAGTCAGTTTTCCTGAGTCTCCCTCATGTATACAGGAGGTATACATGTTTTTAAACTTCCGTTGTTTTTCTTCTATTATTATTATTTTCCTCCTTCACATTTGATTGGTTTGTTTCGAAGCATGACTAAGTGGGTCCCCTTCTAGTCTCCCTGCTCAAACCAAACAAAAAGAACCTGGTCCTTCTAAGAGACCATCAGTTCCATGCTTTGAACTAGGCCTGGGTTACAGCCTTCAAAAACCTACAGCCGTGGCAGTCTGACTGCACCAAAGCACTGGTTCTCAAGAGGGACAAGGAAAGCCCTGCAGAGCACTTATAAAATGTGCAAATTCCTGGGTTCCCCCCATTGGGAATGCTGATTCCAGAAGTTTGGGGTTCCAGGAATCTGCGCATTTTAACAAATGCCCCAGGAGATTCAAACACTCCAGGCAGCCAGACGTGCTGAAGGTTTGATCAAAGACATTCAGGAAAAAAAAAAAAAAAAAGACATTCAGCAGGAGAAGGATTGACAAAAGAATGAAACTCATGTTTATGGAGTTACTTTACCTACAGTGACTTAATGGTGAGGATTTACAAAATCATTGATATGTGTCCCTCTCTTGTGGTGAGCATTTATGAGCAGACCTTATCTGCATTATGGGCTAGTTTGGCTTTGTCACGAGTATATTCTTTATATTCTGTCCTTCAGTTCTCTCAGAATCTACACTTAAGAGGAAAGGGTACTATAAGGAAAATCACTATAAGTAGAGACACCTGCTTGAATCCCTGCCACGCAGAAGAGAAAGAATGGAAAAGAAAAAGGGTCTTGAAAGGAACACGGCCAGGAGTCCATTACCCACACAATACTTCATCAGAGAACCCCGCCAAGAAAATATCCATCGAGAACATGCCTTTCCCCTGTGGATCAATTTGATTAAAAGTGCAAAACCAATGACAGTTGCAGGTCCACAATCCTTTTATCTGCCATCGCCAAATCCAAAAAGCTCTAAAAACCAAAAGTCTGTTTTTTGTTTGTTTGGTTTTTTTTCAAAACTAATTTGGTAACAGATATGACTTGAACTGAGCTGAGGCTACTTACAGACTTTCTTTATTCCATTTATGGTGAGTATACACACATTTTCCACAAAAAGAATGTATTTTGAATACGGGGTGCTGTCCCAGACCCCACTGGGAGTGTCTGTAAAACACGTTCACTGGGGCTTCCCTGGTGGCACAGTGGTTGAGAATCTGTCTGCCTGTGCAGGGGACGCAGGTTCAAGCCCTGGTCCAGGAAGATCCCACATGCCGTGGAGCAACTAAGCCCATGTGCCACAACTACTGAGCCTGAGCTGTACAGCCCACGAGCCACAAGTACAGAGCCTGCGTGCCACAACTACTGAAGCCCACGCACCTAGAGCCCGAGCTCCTCAACAAGAGAAGCCACCACAATGAGAAGCCCACGCACCGCAACGAAGAGTAGCCCCCGCTCGCCACAACTAGAGAAAAGCCCGCACGCAGCAACGAAGACCCGACGCAGCCAAAAAAAACCACGTTCACTGTATTGCCTTTCTAAAATCCAAATAATTCAGACTTATGAAATACATCTGACCTTAATGGTTTGGGACAAGGATTGTCAACTTGGAATTTCAATCATCCAGACATGAACTTAACCCCACTCCTCAACCCCACCTGTCAGGAGCAGTCCAAGAAAGAAACAAAGCTGGTATTCTTTACCACTGTCCCAGCAGTAAAGTTACTCACCGTAGGCAAGGGACCAAGTTGGAGGCTGTACAGAGTTACCCAGCATCAGGCCCATCAAAGGCTACATTCAGAAGCTACAGTATATAGAAAGCAGACAGGGGCCCCTAACCACCTTGGAAAGAATACTTCTGGAGTCACCTAAGAGCCATGCCAGCAGTCTTCCTGAGCTTCTGGAATACCCTAGATACTTCCAACATGCGAAAACAGAGAAGCAAAAATGCGACACTGGGCCCCACTGTTCACTCTTACTTTTCTATACCCACAGCCAAGAGGAGATAAGCAGATTCTTGGGGGCCGATTTCCCTGTAACTGCTCCATTTGACTGGTTCTGATCCACGACAGCCCTATGCCAGAGGCCCAGAAACCTACTGAAGAAAGCAAGCCTCCAGTCCCAACTCACTCATGCATCTAATTTCTCTTCAGGTAGCTCTGCTAGTCTCGACTGTAACTGAGTTTTCCAACAGTTACTTTCCTGTGGCCATGTCATTTCCAACCAGCACGTTGGCCTTCCTCGTCTTGCCTGTCTATTCCCAACACCAGGATAGAGGGTATCTTTTTCAAGCAACCTTTAAAGCAGATACATGTAGACACATCAAAAAAGGAGATTTGAAAAATGACCCTAGGGACTTCCCTGGTGGCGCAGTGGTTAAGAATCCGCCTGCCACAGTGGTTAAGAATCTGCCTGCCAATGCAACGGACACGGGTTCGAGCCCTGGTCCGGGAAGACCCCACATGCTGCAGAGCAACTAAGCCCGTGCACCACAACTACTGAGCCCGTGTGCCACAACTACTGAAGCCCGCATGCCTAGAGCCTGTGCTCTGCAATGAGAAGCCACCGCAATGAGAAGCCAGCGCACCGCAACAAAGAGTAGCCCCAGCTCGCCACAACTAGAGAAAGCCCGCACTCAGCAACGAAGACCCAACACAGCCAAAAATAAACAAAATCTAAAAAAAAATTTTTTTTTAGTTTATATGAAAAAGGATCCCAACTCCATCCTATCTTTTTCCAGTAAACTCACAGTCTCCTCTAGCAACTTCATAGATTTATGACACTAAACCTCTCTGCTTTGTCATGCTGGAGCCACATCCATAATCACCATTAACCAAAGGAGAGGAGTGAAGATAACATGTTAATTCAGAGGCCCAAAGGCCCCCAGCCTTGGCCTGAATATCCCTGCTCTCTTCTTTGATTGGCTGCCAACTGCCTCCAAATTTTGCTGGCGTTTGTTTCAGCCTAGCAGACGGAAAGCTAAACTATCCCTTAAGCTGCAAACGGGGTGGGAAGAGAGGACACTTGGAAGTACAAACAAGGACGGCAGGAAGATGAGGAGGCATCTGAGCACATCCCAGCACCGACTCGGCACTCTGTGTTCATGCTGTCATCCGCCCAGCTGGGCACCTGAAGAAAAGGGCGTGGGCAGGGAGCACACAGAGAAATGCTACAAAGCACTTCCACTTACCCATCGCCTGGGAGGTAAGCAGGGCCTTGCTATGAAATCCCATTTTACAGATGGAGAAACCCAGGGGGAAGGTTCTGACAAGGTTTCTGGCAAGAACCCAGGTCCCGTAACTCCCAGATCAACACACTTTCCACCTCACACCTGACATGGTCCCAGCCTCACGGGGGCTTCTCTTCTTTAGACTCTAGCCCTGCCCCTAGACCCCCCAACAGAACACATGGTGCCACCGCAGGAGCCCCACACCTGTACCACCACACAAAGATCTACTCCTCACAAGGCGAGACATCTCAAAACACAAACCTGCCTGGGCAGCAAATTATATTTACGCAGATGGATTTCAGAGTCCAGCAGTCTCTAAAGACAGGCTCATCTTAGCTCCAACCTGCTTCATTCCCAGATCTGCTGGGTGCTGGCAGCTCCTGAATCCTTACAGAACTTGACTCTTGTTTGGCTGGTTTTTCCTGGCAAACCCTTCAGGTTCCATTCAAAAACCACCCTCTCGCAGCTTCCCCAGGAGAGACTGGCTCTCTAGCATCTTGCCCACAAACTCGAAAATTCAGCTTTTTCCCAAGCACCTAATCTAGGCACCAGCAGCTGTTCCAGTTCATCCTCTACCTCTGAACCACTCCGGTTCCAGGTTCCCACCTTCCC